GGTACATACACCGCAACACATGATATACATAGCTGCTGCATCTGTGTACACCCAGCGCATTCACCATTTTATCACCTATGGTAAAACAAACAAAAGCGTATCTACCGTTGTATATAACCCCAAAAAACATACTATGCACATCCTCATAATCAGAAATAAGTCGATCCCATCCCAGACTGATCATCGATTTTAAAATACACACCCACACACACACACATATACATACACACACCACTGACAATACCTCGTTGACCCATTTATCTGTATGCTCCGATTCCAACTGCTGCCTAGCCTTGTCCAACTCTTTGTCGCCCGGTACTAAAACCTTGGGCTTAGGTGCAGGCGGTGGCCCTGGTTCACTTAATAAGACCGGGGTGCTGGTAGGCGAAGGACTGTACTTGCGGGGATCCACATTCTTATATTTGCTGTTATCTATGGCACCACCATCTGACGCCCTGGTATTACCTTCCTCTTGACTATCTCCGCCATTATGTTTAGCCTCGCCACCCGCATTAGTGTTGGTGTATTTGCTCGAGCTCGCTACGTTTTCTCCCTTGTTCGGTACGTTTTCTCCTGTGTTCTGTACGTTTTCTCCCGTGGGTTGCCTGGGTTTTGCCTGTGCGAGCTCCTGCTCCTGCTCTAATCTTTCTGACTGCTCATTACTTTCTGGTTTATTCACTGTATGAGTTTGCGGTTCAACAGAGCTTTGCCCGTTTGCATTTGCTTGTGCCTGTAGAGATTGACGGCAAGGTTTCGTAGTTTGCTTCAATACCCCAGTTTCTCATCACAACTTTTTACACACATCACCAGTTTATATTTCAGCGAGCAAAATAACCATATCTGTATATATAGGTGACACAGGCACATATCTGTATATATAGGTGACACAGGCACATATCTGTATATATAGATGACACAGGCACACATATCTGTATATATAGATGACACAGGCACATATCTGTACATATAGATGACACAGGCACATATCTGTATATATAGGTGACACAGGCACATATCTGTATATATAGATGACACAGGCACATATCTGTACATATAGATGACACAGGCACATATCTGTATATATAGATGACACAGGCACATATCTGTATATATAGATGACACAGGCACATATATGTATATTTAATTGACACAGGCACATATATGTATATATAGATGACACTGGCACATATCTGTACATAAAGATGACACAGGCACATATCTGAACATATAGGTGGCACAGGCACATATATGTATATTTAGATGACACAGGCACATATATGTATATTTAGATGACACAGGCACATATATGTATATATAGATGACACAGGCACATATCTGTACATATAGATGACACAGGCACATATCTCTATATATAGGTGACACAGGCACATATCTGTATATATAGTTGACACAGGCACATATATGTATATTTAGATGACACAGGCACATATATGTACATATAGATGACACAGGCACATATATGTATATTTAGATGACACAGGCACATATCTGTACATATAGATGACACAGGCACATATCTGTATATATAGATGACACAGGCACATATCTGTATATTTAGATGACACAGGCACATATATGTATATTTAGATGACACAGGCACATATATGTATATATAGATGACACAGGCACATATCTGTATATATAGATGACACAGGCACATATCTGTATATATACACGACACAACCCCCCGGACGTGTTGAAAGCACTAGAACAGATCATGTATTGTAGATTGGATTCGTGTGTAGAGTATGACCTAATGTGTGCTCGACTAATCTATACCTAAAACACAATACACCCACACCCACGTCGTTGCATATACTAGTGGACTTAAAGTACGTTCATCTGTGGCTAGACACCATCCGTTTACAGCCATATCGCTGTGGAGTACGTTACACCCGAGTAATATACTCGGCTCTGCAGATGACCGCCCGACCATGGATATCCCGAAATCACTAACACCCCGCCCCTATACACGAACTCTCTCACATACATACACACACACACACATGCACACACACATACACATGCACACACATACGCGCACAAACACACACACACATACACATACACTTGCTGTGTTTGCACCCTCTTTCTCCCTTAGTAGCCGTTGCTTGGCACTCATGTCCCTGTACACATTAGCCTTCTGCATTGGTTTTTTCATGTCCTGTGGATCTTTCCAGCGACCCGGTTTTTTCCCTGGCTCCAACTTCTTCGCGGCATTCGCTTTGGGGGTTTCTTTCTCTCGTTTTAAACTAAGTTTGCGGCGTATGGTGTGAAATGTGGGGAATTTTATGTGAGAAAAACCTATGGGTGTGTCTCCAATTTCGAAGTCTTTGCTGATAATGGATCACTGCCGGGTTTGTAGAAGTTCGGTACAACTCGGTGAAGGCGATCTGATCCATTTCGTTGTGAGAAATCTGGGACACGCCCAGCGGGTGCAGGGCTACTACACACTGCAACTGAGGACCGCCATTGGCAGTCGTCGTAGGGTGTGTCATCGCCCCAGAGTATTCAAGCACTGTTCGTCGTGCGGACGAGACCGCGACCAGATATATATATACCTCCGCTACTACAGACTCTGCAGAATGCCTTACCAATACATTGTGATAGATGCACAGAAACACACCTACGACAGACTCTGCAGGATATCCTACCAATATACTGTGATACATGCACAGAAACA